GAGGAATGGGGAACATGCATACCCACTATCTCCAAGTAGTGCACCATCTGCCAGACCGGTCCCTTACAGGTCACGCCCTATGGCTGACATTCGAAAAATGTGGCTATCATGTGTAGAGCCAGGCCATCTAGCCACAACATTTGTAAACATTTCTACAAAATTCAATTACATTCAATGCAACACAAATGGTTTTTACGTCCAACACAATATTCCCAGTGAAAAAAAATTAGCAATTTAAAGTGCAAGTGTACGTTTACCTAGTCTTAAACTGTATTCCCGTAAAAGTTTCGTAATGTAAGCATACCCACAGACCCTAAATTTGGAACTGTAATCGTAAGGTTTTTAAAATTCATTTTGTCGAAACGAAGTGTTCAAAACTGGATTGCCGCTTGCGTAATTAAACCACAGTTTATAACTTACATCAATCAACTACAACCTATCCCTTTTCTAGAAATGGTAGATTCCAAGAGATTTCTTGACATGTGTCTTTGAGTAACAGCAAATTACATGTTATTAAACAATCCTACTTAACGAGAGAATGCTCTGTAATGTTATGTTTCAGCACTCAATCCAACAGAGTCCACTGAAAAATGTCCATGTTGGAAAACACATCAAGTGATCACCGATGAATATTTTCCTTGCGGTCGTGTCACCATTCGAAGGCTCAACTTTTGTTAGCAAACAAGATCGATTACAGTTGAGAGTTCCAGAATAGAAAGGGAGATCTCATGGTTCGAAAACTCAATTATTTTAATCAATTCGTTCAGTTCGTTTCGTCGTAAATAGTGTACATGCGTGAATCTTGGGATCACATGCGTTACTCAAGCCAATCACTCGCACATTCCTCCTTACGTGACAGAAAAGCGTTACAATTTTAAAGCGAAATTCTTCGGCTTTCATGCACATATTTGGGACAAAATAATACCTGAAATGCACATGAGATGGTAAGCATAGTAAAGCTTGGGTTAAACGGAATGTTACCCTTTGTTATACAAATAATGAGAGCAACACAAACTTGCTTACCTCGATGGTCGCAGATTGCCTGGACATTGATTGAATGAAATCCTTTCCGGTTCACGAAGTCCGGCTCGTTTTCGTGAGGGGCCTTTATTCTGACATGAGTACCGTCGATGCACCCGATAGCACAGGGAAAACCACCTACTCTGAACAAACCTTGCTTTATTTCGTCTCGTTCTGCACGAGTGCACGGAAATTTTATGAAGTCGCCTAACTTTGCAGTCAAGGCTTTTGTCACCCGGCGAACTATCCGGCTGACAGTCGACTTGTCAAATCCCTGAAAAGTGTCACCTATTACTTGAAGAAACGAACCCGAAGCTAAGAATCTGAGGGTGATAAGGACTTGCATT